AGAGAGAGAGAGAGAAAGAGAGAGAGAGTGTTTCTATTTAATCATATGTAAATCTAATGTGTATATCTAATAACATTTATAATGTAAAATCATAATATTTATAATAAATCATAATATTTATAATAAACAAATGAAAGGAATAAAAAAGCAATCTTTTAAACTTTCTTTTTAAATAATTATATAAAAACATATAGAAATATATACATACATTGATTTATAGACACTTTATCATTTCTAGATCATGTATGTTTGTTTGTTACATGTATGAACGCACACGCACGTGTGCTCATACATATAACACGTATACACGCATACGCGTATACACATATACATGTTTCATAATTAGTTAATTGGCACATCTTTCATGGATAGTACAGGTTATACTGAATAAAAAAGTTTTGTACCATTTTGTAATTTTCATAATGATTAATAAGTTTAATTAATTTATAAAAATCTACGAATGAACAATGAAATGATTTTCTATATGAGAGTAATGTTAGAAGGAAAAGCGTATATATTATTAAGCGAATTTTATATAAATTACGTATTAAATAATCATATAGTTTATATTTAAAGTCATTTAGAATACATTCAGAGAGGTAGCACAACAAATATTACACGGCATATTGTTTCATAACTCAACAACGCAGTAGCTGAATGATTGTTTAAAAAATTCAGTATGACACAAGGATAGCGAAAGTCATCAGGAGTTTTTGTGTGATATGAGGTTCTATTTTACTTAAACTCAAAGTATTGATAAAATACAGTTGGGACAGTCGGGTAGGATGCAATTTCCAAGAATCAATTCAGATTTTGTCAAAATGCGTTTATTCAACGTTATACTTCTGTCGCTCTCTCTCTCTCTCTCTCTCTCTCTCGCTAGGCGTGCTCGCCATTACTCGCTCATTACTCAAAAAGCATGCATGAAATCGCTGCTGCGTGATCGCTGCGGCGTCACCTCAAACTCGTTTAAATTTATTCACTAATTCCTTACAATTTACACAATGTTAAACATCTATTTTTTTATATATTATTCACGTAAAAATGGCGACAACATAGATGATAATAACCAAAACAACGTATTTCCATATATTCATATCAACTTTTTTTCTTGTTTTTAGATCCCTAAAATAGTTATAGTATTGCACGAAATATGATATGACATTAGCAATCAGCTGGCTCACATAGTCCTTTCTTATTCTTTGTATTTATATAAATGAAATTGTAATTTATTTATATATTTAATTTTTTTCTTCATTACATTTCTTCATTTGAATAGATTAACATCAAGCAAACTCAGAAAGAAATATCAAGAAATACAACATCAAGAAAATATTTAGACCGAAGATTATAAGTGCTAAAAGTGTGTCAGGGTAGGCGTAATAGCGGAGCGCTAAACGCTAAATACATTAATATTAAGTATAATGAAATATTTACTTAATATTAATTTGCATATGTACGTTGTGTGTGTGTGTGTGTGTGTATATATATATATATATATATATATGTGTGTGTGTGTGTGTGTGTGTATATATATATATATATATATATGATAATTTGCAATCGCTTAACAAACCATCAATGTAACAATAAGAAAAAAATCAGGAACATTCGTATACAATATATAATACTTGTAACTTTTTAGAATTATAGAATTTATTAAAATTATCTTTTCAAAATTATTAATTTTACATAGTTCATCTATAACTTTATATTAGATTTATCACAATTAAACGAATATATTTTACATTAGCTTTTTAATATTTATCTAGTAATATTACAAATATATTATAACACTAGAATTTAATTATGATTCGATTGTATATATACATTCATAAGTACACATGAAACATAAATATAAAATCAGAAAGACAAAACATAAATTATATTAAGGTTAATTAAATAAGCTTATTTTTAAAAAAGTCATAAGATTACACTAGAGCTTCTTGATTAATCAGTCGATTAATTTAAATAATCGTACCTAAAATGATAATTTACAACTACGAAAAGTATACACACAAGGTAAAGCACAGAGTTAAATGAACATTGTTGAGATCGATTGCAGCCGTATCCCAAACATTCACAGATAAGTTGATGACTATCTCGAGTATAACGTCCTTGATAACATTTCTTTTGATTATTACATGATTTTGCGCATTCGCGCATTGTTATGCTATTATACGAATCCATAAAATAATCTAGAATTTTCATATTTAAACATTGTTTAATATGAATTATTGTTGCTGAAGTATTTCTTAATCTTCTTGTTATTGAACTATTATATACCAAACTAAATTACATTATATATAATTATACTATACATATATTTACGTATGTAGTATACGTTGTTAAAAAAAAATGGAGATTTGCAATATACAATAACGTATCTTTTTTGAAAAACAATTATGTATTTTCTTTATATTAATTGATTGATTTCATTATTTTGTGCATAAAAGTATAGTTGCCAAAACAATGAATAGTTTACAAGATATTTTATACGTTATGTCAAATTACATATCAAATTCAAATCTCATAACTCAGAAAGAACTTGCTAAAAAAATACATTATTATACTATTTTGAAAAGTTGTCGCGATAAGTTATAAGAATATGTTATCAAAAATGTGGATTTCCCGTTTAAAAAAACAGTTGACCTCTATATGACCTTAGTAACGCCATACAAAGTAATCTGATAAAATCAATAAATAGATCTTCTGAAATTCTACAACTTCCTCTAATATTTTTTTCTAAAATACATTCCTGACGGGTTATTTAACCGTTTCTGTACTT